CATGATAGATGGTGAAGAGATTGAGATTGTTCACAGCTTTACTTAGCTTGCCTCCACAATCAACACTCTTGACACCAGCAACCAGGAAATTAAAGGATGTACTGTGAAGGGAAAGTCTTCAGTTAGAGACACCTCTAAAGTACTAAAGAGCAACTATGTCCATCTGGAGACTAAGGTGCGCCTGATACGGGCCATGGTCTTTGCAATCATCTTTGCTATGCATTGGAGGGCTGGACAATGACTACAGATGATAGAAGGAGAATTGATGCCTTTGAGCTATGGTGCTGGAGAAGAGTATTGAATATACCACGGACTACTAGAAGAACAAACAGTTTCACCCTACAGAGGGTGAGACCTGGCTGCTCCTTGGAGGCAAGGATTCTGAAGTTTCATCTGACATACTTTGGACATGTTGCAAGGAGGGACCAGCTCTTGGAGAGGGACATCGTGCATGGGAGGGTAGAGGGACAGCATAGGAAAGAAAGACCCTTGATAAGATAAAGTGATTCAGTGACTGGGGTAATGGGGGTAGGTGTGTCAGAGACAATGAAACTGGCACAGGATAGAGCAGGGTTCAGGGCTGTTGTAAATAGGGTTGCTACGACTAACAAACAATTCAACGGCACATAACACCAACAACAGTAATATCTTTGATAAAATAGATTTCTATGCAAAACCATCACAAAGGACAAGGAAGGTCACTACATAATGCTTAAAGGATAAATAGAACAAGAAGACATAACCATAACGATCTGTGCACCAAATGATAGATCTGTAAAATATACAAACATTTACAGAACTGAAAAAATAGACAACACCACTATAGTAGTAGGCGACTTCAATACACCACTGTCAAGAAAAGATAGAACTACCAGAATAAAATTAAACATTATGCTGAAGAATTAATCCACACAATAAACCAACTCAATCTCATAGATAGATGCAACCTAATGCAGTAAAAAAAAAAGGCACAGTGCTTTGGTCGGTTGAGCTTAGTTGTGTCGTTTTTTCGTGGCCAGGTGCGTTCCTAGCTGTTCCAGCTCTCGGCTCCGCGTTCCTGACCTGCGTTGCCAGCAGGATGGCCCACAAGCAGATTTACTACTCGGACAAGTACTTCGACGAGCACTATGAGTACCGGCATGTCATGTTACCCAGAGAACTTTCCAAACAAGTACCCAAAACCCACCTAATGTCTGAAGAGGAGCGGAGGAGACTTGGTGTTCAACAGAGTCTAGGCTGGGTGCATTACATGATTCATGAGCCGGAACCACATATTCTTCTCTTTAGACGACCTCTTCCTAAAGATCAAGAAAAATGAAGAGTGTCTGAGGATTGCCAGTGGAATAGTTTTCAAATTTAATGTGTATATGTGTATATATGGTAGTATTCAGTGAATACTTGAAAAATGTACAAATCATTCATCCATACCTGTGCATGAGCTGTATTCTTCACAGAAACAGAGCTCAGTTAAATGCAACTGCAAGTACATTACCATAAGGTGTTTAAAATAAAATTTCTTCCAGTCTGTTTTCTCTTTATAATATAAATGACTGTTTGACTTTACCTGTTAATTCTGTTTAATAAAGTTTTCACATTGCATTAAAAAAAAGGCACAGTATACCTTCTCCAATGTGCATGAAATGTTCTCCAGAATAGATGACATTTAAGGTAACAAGACAAACATTAATAAATATAAAAAAACACAGAAATAATACAAAGCATCTTCTCAGACCACAATGCTACAAAATTTGAAATTAATAACAAGAGGATGTTGTTGTTGTTAAGAGCCGTCGAGTCGTAGGTGACTCATAGCAACCTTATGAATGAAAGACTTGGACACCTGTATAAATTTCGTCCTTTCTCCAGGTTCATAAGGTTTCCAGAGATAAGCTATTACGGAAGTGGATGCCACTCCTGCTTCCAAGCTTGTTTTAAGTGGGGAGCTCCACCAAACACTGTCCACCACGGGTAACCATTCTCGCATTTGACTCATTAGTGTCATAGTGTTTGGCTTCACAGTAACCACGAGTTACCTCTGTACAAAAAGTGGACATAACAGGGTATACGACCTAGAAGAATGTTTCACAAAAAACAATTAAAAGCAGGCCTGAGGGCCGTGGAGTAGAGTCACCCACCTTTGGCTTGGGAGCATGACTTTCCGTCCAATAGGCCAACTGATCTCTCTCTATTCTGTTATTGTTTTTTTTTAAGTGCCGTCAAAGGAGGAAAAAACCCCAGACATTTGGAAGAGTGTAATTCATCACATTAACAAACCAAAGAACAAGAACTACCCGATCCTACCATTGAGGCAGAAAAGGTTTTCAACAAAATCCAACACCCTTTCCTGATTAAAACTTTCAACACAATAAGAATAGAAGGGAATTTCCTCAACATAGTAAAGAGTAGATACAGAAACCCAAGAGCCAATGTTATTCTCAGGGGAGAGAGATTAAAGGCATTCTCTTTGAAAATATGAACTAGGCAATGATGCCCACTATCACCTCTCCTATTCAATACTGTATTGGAAGTCTTAGCAATGGCAATGAGAAAAGGAAATAAAAGGTATTAAAATTGGCAAAGAGGAGGTAAAATCATCTCTATATGTAGATGACATGATCTGGAGAAATGGAAGAATATACCTTGCTCTTGGATAGGAGGACTCAATACTGGTAAAATGACAATTCTACCAGAGGCAATCTACAAGTTCAAAGCAATCCCAATACAAATACTGATTCCATTCTTTAACGAGATGGAAAAGGCAATTTCCAATTGCATCTGGAAAGGAAAGAGACTCTGAATTAAAAAAAGCACTCCTGAAAAACAGAAACAAGGTAGGAAGCATCGCACTCCCTGATCTCAAATACTACTATACAGCTATGATGGTAAAGACAGCATGGTACTGGTACAATGACAGACACATAGATAAGTGGAATAGAATTGAAAACCTAGAAATCATCCTATGGCCAACTAATTTTTGACAAAAAAAAAAAAAGAAATCAGTTGAGTGGGGCAATGACAACCTCTTTAACAAATAAATGGTGTTGGCAAAACTGTAGAAAACTCAAGCAAGAATCATACCTCACACCATACATAAAAAGCAACTCGAAGTGGATAAAGGACCTAGGAATAAAATCAAGGACTATAAAATTCATCAGAGAAAAGCTTGGAAGAACTATAAAAGCCCTAGTGTACAAAATGAACAGCATCCTAAAAAGCCTATAAGCAGGAGAGAATAAAATTGATTAGTGGGACCTTCTAAGAATCAAATCCCAAAGCACATCAAAAATCTTCTCCAACAGGGTAAAAAGGAAAACCACATACTGGGGAAAAATATTTGGTAATGAACTGTCTGATAAGGGACTTTTATCTAGAATTTATAGACTACTCCACCACCACAAGATAAACAACTCAATTGCAAAATGGGTACAGGATATGAACACACACTTCATAAAGAAGACATTCAGATGGCGAATAAGCACATGAAGAAATGTTCAAAACCCCTAACTCTAAGAGAGATTTAAATCAAAACAACAATGAAATTCATCTCACTCCAGTAACAACAGCAAAGTTCAACAGAGCAGCACGCAACAAATGCTGGTGAGGTTGTGGAGAAATTAGAGCCCTTTATTCACTGTAGATGGGAGTATGAAATGGTGCAACCACTCTGAAAGGCAGTATGGTGCTTTCTTAAAAAGTTGGAAATAGAAATATCATTTGACCCAGCAATTGCAGTACTGGGAATATACCCTAAAGAAACCAGAACTTCTAAAGAGATATATGCATACCTATGTTTATTGCTGCATTGTTCACAATAGCAAAGTGATGGAAGCAACCCAAGTGAGCATCAACAAATAAATGGATGGAAATGGTGTGATATATTCACACAATGGAATACTATGCCGCACTGAAAATCATGGAACTAATAAAATATTAT